ACCTGTATTCCCCATCCCATTCCCCCCTCCCACCTCCCCCCCCGACCCGATTCCTCTGGGTCTTGCCAGTGCACCAGGCCCGAGCACTTGTCTCATGCATCCAACCTGGGCTGGTGATCTGCCTCACTATAGATAATATACATGCTTCGAGCATGCTTATTCTTGAGAGTAGGTGCAGGCTTCATAGACATGGGTCATAATCATCCAGGTATATGCATGTTCGGGGTGCAACTGAGAGTGAATGCCACATGGATCCCTCTGTGTGCCAGTGTAATTTTTCCAGTACCTGTGGTTTAGGAGTAGGCACCTGTTTGGAGACAATATTGAGCTCATGTGTGTGGAAAAGTATGACTGGAAACATGAGGATTAGGTTCCGCAGTAAGTCTTCAACACCATCAAGACTGCAGCCAGCAAAAAAATGTTCCTTTTTGTATATTCCATCATGTAAAAAAAAAAGTTCACAAATTTGTGAAAGTGAAACCATGCTTTGACATGAAAGAAGATATCATAAGAGAAGCTAGCAAATATTTATAGATAAATGAAAATGAAGAATACAGCATACTAAAAGTTATAGGATGCTATGAAAGCAATGCTAAAGAGGAAATTATAGCTTCAAATGCCTAATTAAAAAACAAGAAAGATCTCCAATCAACATTCTAACTTAACAACCTAAGAAACTAAAAAACAAAGTACAAATTAAATGCAAAGACATCAGAAAAAAGGAAGTAATAAAGATTATAAGGGTAAGGGTTATTCGCTCAGTTGAGTCCAACTCTGTGACTCCATGGACTGTAGAACACCAGGCTCCTCTGGCCATGGGATTCTCCAGGCAAGAATTCTAGAGTAAGTTGTCATTCCCTTCTCCAGGGAATCTTCCCTACCCAGGGTCTCCCACTTTGCAGGCAGATTCTTTATCTGAGCCACAAGAGAATAGGGTAAATGAAATAGAGGGAGAAAAAACAGTAGAGAAAATCAAACAATCTATAACTGGTTCTTCAAAAACATTAACAAAATTGACAGTGTTTTACCTAGTAGCCTAATTTAAAAAGAGAAGACTCATATTACTTAATCAGAAATGGTAGGGGGACATTACTACCAATTTGATACAAATTTTAAAAATAAAATAGTATTGTGAATAACCACATGCCAAAAAATTGGATAACCTAGGTGAAATGGACAAATTCCTAGAAACATAAAACCTACCAAATTAAATCAAGAGGAAATAGAAAATCCAAGGGAATTCCCTAGCAGTCCAGTGATTCAGACTCCACAAAGCAAAAACCACTTTTGCTTCAAAGGGCATGAGTAGGGAATTAAGACCCTGCAAGTCATGCCACAGGCTTCTCAGGTGGTGCTGAAAAGTTAGGTAAAAGTGTTAGTCACTCAGTCATGTCTGACTGTGAGACCACATGGACCACAGCCTGCCAGGCTCCTCTGTCCATGGAATTTTCCAGGCAAGAATACTGGAGTGAGTTGCCATTCCTTTCTCCAGGGGATCTTCATGGCCCAGGGATCGAACCTGGGTCTCCAGCATGGCAGGCCAATTCTTTATGTCTGAGCCACAGGTGGCACTAATGGCAAAGAATCCAACAGCCAATGCAGGAGACACAAGAGAGGCAGCTTCAATCCCTGGGTCAGGAAGGTCCCCTGGAGTAGGAAATAACAGTTCAGTTCAGTCGCTCAGTCATGTCCAACTCTTTGTGGCCCCATGGACTGCAGCATGCCAGCCTTCCCTGTCCATCACCAACTCCCGGAGCTTACTCAAACTCATGTCCATTGGCTGAATGCCACCCACCCATCTCATCCTCTGTCATCCCCTTATCCTCCCGCCTTCAATATTTGCCAGCATCAGGGTCTTTTCAAAGGAGTCAGTTCTTCGTATCAGATGGTCAGAGTATTGAAGTTTCAGCTTCAGCATCAGTCCTTCCAATGAATATTCAGGACTGATTTCCTTTAGGATTAAGTGGTTTCATCTCCTTGCAGTCCAGGGGACTCTCAAGAGTCTTCTCCAACACCACAGTTCAAAAGCATCAGTTCTTCGGTGCTCAGCTTTCTTTATAGACCAACTGTTGCATCCATACGTGGCTACTGGAAAAACCATAGCTTTGACTAGACAGACCTTTGTTGGCCAAGTAATGTCTCTGCTGTTTACTATGCTGTCTAGGTTGGTTATAGCTTTTCTTCCAAGGAGAAAGTGTCTTTTAATCTCATGGCTGCAATTACCAACTGTAGTGATTTTGGAGCCCAAAAATATAGTCTTTCACTGGTTCCATTGTTTCCCCATCTATTTGCCATGAAGTGGTGGGACCAGACGCCATGATCTTAGTTTTCTGAATGTTGAGTTTTAAGCCAACTTTTTCTCTCTCCTCTTTCACTTTGATCAAGAAGCTCTTTAGTCCTTTGCTTTCTGCCTTAAGGGTGGTGTCATCTGAGTATCTGAGGTTATTGGTATTTCTCCTGACAATCTTGATTCCAGCTTGTGCTTCATTCAGCCCAGCATTTCACATGATATATTCTGCATATAAGTTAAATAAGCAACAGTTAGAACTGGACATGGAACAACAGACTGGTTCCAAATTGGGAAAAGAGTACATCAAGGCTGTATATTGTCACCTGTTTTTTTTAACTTATATGCAGGGGATAAAAACACACTCCTGTATTCTTGCTTGAAAATTTCCATGGGCAGAGGAGCTTGACAGGCTATATAGTCCATGGGACCACAGAGAGTCAGACACAACTGGGCAACTATGCACACACACACACACACACACACACACACACACACAAGCCACACCACATGGAAAAACAAATAAGCAAAAAAAGAAAGAAAGAAAGAAAAGAAAACAAGAAAAAAAATCCAAATACACCTATAATTAGCACGGATTAAATCAGTAATCAAAAACCCTTCAGCAGTGAATTCCCTAGCAGTCCATTAGTTGGGATTCCACACTCTCACTGCCAAGATCCCAGTTTAATCCTTGGTCTATTATTCACTCACCTCAGTCATGTCGAACTCTTTGCGACGCCATGGACTGCAGCACGCCATGCCTCCAAATCCTTCATTATCACTCAGAGCTTGCTCAAACTCATGTCCATTGAATCCGTGATGCCATCCAACCATCTAATCCTCTACACCCTCTTCTCCCGCCTTCAATCTTCCCCAGCATCAGGGTCTTATCCAGTGAATCCACTCTTACCTGTAACTGGCAGAGCCCACTTACATGCCACACAGAGTCTGCATTGCCGCGATCTCCAATTTGGTCTTGAGCCCCTAAACCCCAACATTGTCTCATCCCCTGATTTCTGCTTCTAGACTTCAGGATGCAGCCCGCCATCCTGAACCCTTCGATTGTACATTTTGCCTTTCCCGGACCTGTACCCCATTGCACTTGCGCACTTCCCACTAGTTACTCCGATCTCCCCGTCCCTTGCCGCCCGGTCCGAAGATAGCCGATTTCAGATAGCCAGTTTCCCCGCTCCAAGACTTTATTCCTTTGAATCGATGCCACTCCTGGGCTTAAGAGGCAGAAAATGGGGATAAGAGCAGCTTTGAGGTTCGATGTCCTGAGCCATGAGACCACGAACCTGCAAGGGGAAGAGATGTGCCGCGAGGCAGGAGTGTCGAATGGAACACTGAGGTTTCTTGACACTGAGGTCTCGGTGTGAACCTGTCACTCGGTCACTCATGTCTCCTTTCAGCAAGAATCCGTTCTCCTGGGATCTGTGCCCCACCCCCCCACCCCCCGTCTCCCGCTCCACAATGCCGCTGCCGTGCTTGCCGCGCTGGAGGGTCTCTACAGGCTGCATGGATCGTGTGCTGTGCGCTCAGACCCAGCGATCCTGTGTACAGTGAGAAGCGTCTTTCTCTGCGTTTTACCTGCTGAGGACAAGTCAGGACCTCGGACCTTCCTGGAAGGCTTAGAGCAGTCGCTCCAACAGGGAGATCCAGAAACCTGTTGAGCAGGGTGTAGGAGGGTCGAGGTGCTGGGCAATCGGGTTTTACAGAGCACGTTTATTCCAGAGAGTCATGGACACAGGACGTAATCCTGCTGCTGTGCGCTGTGCTCTTCCTGCCGGACTGTGAGCACCACCTGGATGCCCCGGGGCACCCGTGTCACCACACACCCTCACCCGTGAGTGCCTGTGGTGAGGGCGCGCGCACATGTCTGGAGTCAGTGCTGAGTTTGTGGGTGTGTAAGAGTAGACAGAAGCCAGCATGGGATTGCACGCCCGCAGGACTCTTCAGCACCGTCAAGCTTGGCGGGCTTTCTAGCAGAGGACGGAATTGCAGTAGATGAGGGTATAGAGCTACCATCACAGGTCACTGTAACATCTTGGCAAACCGCAGCGGGAAGCTGGGCAAATGGTTGGGGAAGGAGAGTGAGCATTAGGTGATGAATGGTGGGGGAGGAGGCGTGGGGCTGGAAGTCGGCTTGGAAGCTGGGAGGTATCTAAGCCTTGCACTTCCCTGCTCAGGCTCAACGGGGCATCCAGCCCCTCCTTACCCAATGAAGGACCACCCAGCCTGACTCCAGGTAGCTGCGGAGGGTGTTGATTGGGAAAGTGTATCGTGATCCCACGGAATCTTCTATGAACTTCTCTGGTAAGCTCTTCCAGATCCCTAACTGGGTGGAGAACAGGTACCTGGTTAGTAATGATAACATTCCCTCAAGACTGGAATATGAGTCCCATTTCAGAGATAAGTATGTTGAGACTTTACTAGTTACTAGCCTGTGATCTTATTCCTGGCAAAGTTACATTTGGAACAGAGTTGAAATCTGTCAAAGTTCCTGGACTTCCATGGCTGTATCTCCACACGCCCTGCTCTCCTTTGCGCGCTTCCTGCTGCCTGAATCCGACACCCCGCTTGGGCACAGAATCATCACCTCTGCTGCGCGTTAACCCTGAAATTCTCTTGGACGGGGGTCTATGGTCAGATCAAGGGGAGTCAGGATTCTCTGTAATGCTGGATTCTACTCTACAGGATAGCATGACTAGAAATGGAGTGGGATGCGTACCTGTTCAAAAACCTTGAAACGGAACAGGCAAAATTAACCGTGACGTCAAATTGTCCTCAAATTCCGACTTATTTTTCCTGTTTCTCATTCGCCCCCACCAACCCCCCTCTGTGTCCCCCTCCCACGCCCGCCATCAATGACCTCGGTGCAAAAACAAGTGGGGTGGTACTTCTGGATGCTCCATGTTCTGGACGCAAGTGGTGACACAATCCTTCTGGGGCTCACATCCTTCCCCTCATTGGTTGCCTGGAGCTCCTGGAACCCCCACTAGACCCACAGCAGCGGGAATAAAAGCAGCTGCTCGCGCTGGGAGGATTCAGAGGCACTCAAGTGTCTTTGCCACTTCTGCCAGAGTGCCATCGCCTGCCGCCAAAGCTACCGCTGCTGCTCCTTCCTCTGCTCCCAGCCCCCTGGTGCCGGCTATCAGGTAAGCCTGGAGATTCCTGCTTAGCTGGGATTCTGTTTCTCTTTCTCCCCTTGCTTCCCTCTCTCTCTCCAGTACTTTTTCTTAGCGGATCTCTTCCTGTCTCAACGGCTCTGTTCACTCCCGTCCAGGTCTCTTCACACAAGCTGAGTTACTCTGCAGGGCTCCTTCCACAGGTAACACTGGATGGTCTCAGTTTGCAAACTCCCTTCTTCACTCTCCTCATGCCCAGGTTGGCTCCAGCCTCTTTCTCACGGCTCATGTGCTTAGGTCAGTCTGGGATGCTGAAGCTTCCCTGGGCACTGCAGGCTGATCCTGATGCAGGAATACCTTTATGAAGCCAGTGCTGTCACGGGTCACATCTCATATCCAGTGGACCGAGGGAAATGGGTTTCAAATCCAGGACAGTGCAGGCAGGTGGGAAACAGGGACAGGTAGCTGTTAAACAGAAGCCCTCATCTGTGGGTTCTGGGAATTTTTTTTGCCAGTTTAATCCCTGGGTCCCAATTTGAGGCTTCCAGATTGACTCTTACTGGTCATATTTATCAATGTGTGGAACAGCTGAGCATTGGAATTTGGTCCTTCAGTTTCTTGCGGATTCCAACAGCAGAAATTTGTCCTTGGGAACCTCCTTCCCCCACCGTATGTAGTAAAAGCCCCACACCAGCAGGACAGCTCTGGGTTGTACAAGCGGGAACTGGTGGTCACAGGTACTCCCAGTCTGTCCTCTGGAGTTGGAGGACAGACTGGGAGTGTGTAAGGTGCTGGTAGGGGCCTATAGACCAACATTTTTTCACCCAATTTCCTGTCAGCTTTCTTTGCTAAACCAAGCATTTTACAGGCTTACTGGATCATCTAGTGGTTCATTTAGATATTGAGGATATGATGGTGAAACGGAGTGAAATGACCAGCCTGAAACCAAGACAAGTGGGAGTTAGACGCATAGGCTGGAGCAGAGCCCAGGTCTGTGGGCTCACGGAATTTAGACCTGCTACAGGTGGTGACATTCTTCCCTTGCAGAGAGGTGTCATGGGGTCCTGGAAGCTCCCCCTCTTCCTGGTCCTCAGCATCCTGATCATCCACCAGGCAGGCATGCTCCAGGCAGCGCCATTCAGGTAAGACAGCCCTTCCTGGAGCCCTGTCATTTCCCACAGCCCCTGGAATTATACAATTCTATGTTCTCAGTTGTGCTGTGCTGACTCTGGCTCTTATGAGGGGGTGGTAATGTATGAATGTAAACATGTAGATAAGTTTATCATAAATTTTTTATGAGACAAAGATGTATAGCACACAGTTTACAGATAGACATATTATAACATGATATTCCTTGCAAATTTCATATACTGTGAAACTCATAGCATTCTTTTGTTGATTTTTACCAGACATTTTTATCTTTAGGAAACCTAGTTACTAGTTTAACCATAATTTGAGCAATGAATTGCATCCTAATTTGCTAATTGCTTTGCCAGTAAATGTTATTAAATCTGATATATAAAATGTGATATATATTTTATCTAATTTCTCACCATCATTCAAATTAAAGTGAAACCATTTTCAGATTTAAATAATTTCATTAATAATGGCTATATTTTATACTAAGCTCATAAAATTCCTGAAAATCTAAACCATCACCTTTCACAAGTCTATATGATTCACTTGGACCAAGCCACTTCTCTAGGTCACACCAGATCCTAAATCCTGGTGAAGCAGCAATTTTGGATGAACAATAGCCAGTGCCCTGTCCATTGAGAGCTGGTTTAGTCACATTTGCGGGGGAAGTCCCAGAATCCAAGAAACTTTGTTGCTTATCCTCGGATGAGGATTTTCAGGGGCTTGGAGCACCTGTTGCTCTTGTTTCTCCTCCCCAGGTCGGTCTGGAAAAATGGCTTTGTACCAGCTACACTCACTGAGGAGGAATCGTACTTCCTACTGGCCACAATAGTGAAATATTACGTGCAGAAGGCCAGTGAGCTGGAGTATGAAACTGAGGACTTCGGGTAAATCTGTGTATCCCTCTCAGAACATGGCTTACCTTCTCCACTGGCATACCAGGAAGACATATCCTTAAGCATGAGATTGGGGGACTTCCCTGGTGGTCTGTGCTTCTGATACAGGGGGTGCCAGTTTGATCCCTGGTTGGGGAACTCACGTGATGGCCACATGTTGATCTCACATGTTGGCAAAAAAAAAAAAAAAATTGAGATTGGGATAGTGTCGTAAGTGTCTCTCTCATCTCATAAGCCTTGGATGATTTTTAATTTACACAGAAAAGACTGGCTATTACAGATCTATGTTCCACGACCAGTAACCCAAGCTCCCTTTGTTTTAAAATACCCCTGGAAATGTCTACAGGGAGTGATTGTAGTATTTTCCCTAATGCTCTATGATTTTCTACTGTGATGATCGTATTTAGCAGAAACATTTAAGGTTCACCAGTGCCTCTCAGAGTAGTAATTTTCCACTGATGTTCCCATGGAGCAGCACCTGTCCTCAACCTCTCACTGACAGATCTTTTCATTTTTCTCCACCCTACAAATCAGCATCATTGCCCAGAAGAGAGCCAGTCACACCGCCACCTGCATGACCCATAAGATGGCAAGCTTCCTGGGCAGATCTGGGAGCAAGATTAAGAGGAACACCATGTCCACCAATGTGGCTCCAAAGCCTCTGGCCGGCACCAGAGGGATCTTCAGAACCAAGAAGTGAAATAACTCCAGGAAGAAGGTCACCACCCTAGTACTGTCACAGCTAGTGGTTGGGTATTGTAGACATGCATGCCACATTCTAACCCTCTCTTGGCCCGTATCATTAAAAAATCCACAGCAGAGTTGCTGAGCCCAGTGTCTAGATATAGAACAGAGAGTCTCAATATCTGAAATCCCTCTAACTTGGGTTCATTTGTTTTCCAGTGTCTCCCGGTGATACTGAGATCATCTGCCGGGAAACATAGATCCTATTCATTTAAAACACTGTTCCAGACTTCCCTGGTAGTCCAGTAGTTAAGACTGCACACTTCCACTACAGGGGACAAAGCTTTGGGCCCTGGTTGGGGAACTAAGATACCACATGTTTAAGATCCCACACTGCAACATGCCGCACCATGGCGCAGAAAAAGCAAGCATACAAACAAAAACTTCTCCTTGCAGTTATAATTGTGATTATTCTAGTTTTTGCGTTTGAAAGGCAAAGACCCTACCCTTTGAGAATATTCCCTACAATGTCATCTGGATTCAGAGATAGACTTGGGTTCAAATACTGTGTCCTCTACTATGTCACCATGGGCCAAACCCTCTATAAGCCTGTTTCCCCATTTAACTTGAAGGTAACAATACTAGCTACCTGTTAGCAGCTGAACTCTACTTCTTGTAATTTGCAGTGAAAGAAACTTGCAAAAAAAATAGCATGGAAGACACACATGTATGCATGCTTGTTGATGTTAAAAATGTTCTTTTCCTTGAAGTAAACTGAAGCTAAATGCAAAATAAAATCATCTGCAGTTACCTAGTGTGTATCTTTTTAATATTTGATTCTATGTTCAGTAAATACGATTCATGTTTCATTGGCTTATCTGGCAGAAAATTAGGGCCCTGTCAGCCAACTTTGCCAAGAGGTATTACATCCATTATGAATTCAAACTTGGTCTTCACAGACATATTTTGTCCTTACAGGTATTTTGATTGTGAGATCTTTTAGTGATAACATATCTGACAATGTTTATTAAATGGCAACCAAACTCTTAGTTTAAAACAAACTTAGCCAAAATACACTACATGTTTTCCCTGTGCTCTAAAGTTAGAATGTCCTTTAAATAAATTTAATATTCTTTAATATGTGTGTGTATACTCAGTCATGTCTTACTCCTTGCAATGCCATGGACTGTAGCCTGTCAGGCTCCTCTGTCCATGGAATTCTCCAGGCAAGAATACTGGAGTGGGTTGCCATTTCCTATTCCAGGGGATCCTCCCAACCCAGGAATCGAACCTGTACCACTGAGGCACCTGGGAAGCCCAATCTTCTTTAATAAGCATGTTCAGTTTAACCTACTGTTTATTTTGCTTCTTTAAAGCTAACTCTTTTTAGAAGCACAGTGTAAGAATATTTGTCAAGATCTTTTGCAAAGCCAGAGTAAAAAGGCTTCAAATTAGGACTGAAGTGACTCTCTGAGCGTGGTTCACAGATTTAAAGAATGGACTTGTCGTGTTCTGTTTCCTTACTCTTCCTACTTGGCGCTCAAAGTTCCATAGAAGCCCAGTTGCTTAAGAATTTCAGTAAACTTCGCAGTCAACATGACTGTGGGGAAGACAAGTCCCTGACTAGGAGCTAGTCCTGTGCCCCAGGCAGCAAATTCTGACCTCCACTGATTACATTTCCTGTGTTATACAGGCTAACAATACTATTTCTTTACATCAGAAAACTTAACTATTTGTAATGATACATCTATTTGTGATTATTTGATTTATGTACACTTTCCCCAATAGACTGTAAATACCATGAAAGTGAGGTCCATGGCTAGTTTTGCTCACCATTACATCTGCAGCATTTAGTCTAGGAGGTGTTCAATAATTCTGTGATGAATGACTGAAGAAACATGTGCCAAGTCTACATAGAGCCCAGATTTCTGGTTCCACTGGTGCTGCCCTGTATGACCTTGGACAGAGAATTACATTTCCACTGAGTCTCAGATACCATGTTTGGAAGAGGGTCTTCAGGAAGATGGTCACTCAGTGTTTGTCCATCCACTTTAGACTTCTAATCTCTTTAAATATAAAGGAAGGAAGTTGTCCAGATTAGAAAATGGCCCAGTAGGGCACTGTAGGAGAGGCAGTGGCAGACGGTGGTTTGCTGAGCATCCCTAGGAAATGGCATGAATGACTCCCGAGTGAAGTGTGACCTCTCTACAGCCTTTGGAAAAATTGTGACGGGAAAGAAGCTTCTCACTGAAAACCACTTTTTTCCTTCCTCTATCAGTTTCTTAAATCCTCACACCCACCACCATCAACATGACCATGCTGACAACTCCAACAGATCAGTGTCCTCTCACCTCCCATTCTGTCCTGACTGTAAAAAAAAAATGCTGAAATAAACACATTCACATGTAAGTGCACTTTTAGGAACTTTTTTTTAACTTTACTCTCCTGCCGTTGGGGTTTGCATTTTCCAACTTAAGCTATTTGTGTGTGTGGGGGGGGGGGGGTGGTGGTGTTTAACTCATATAAATTAAATAGTAAAGACTGAACTTCAGGCACGGTGGGAACTTTTTTTAGTGGCTTAAGGGAGGCTTTCATAAGCTTCCTCAAATCCCATGCAGAGGTGCTACACTTTACCAGCTTTACCTCACTGCCTGACTCCTAGGAGCATCAACGAAATCCAAGTGCACAAACCTATCCTACATAACAATTTGTCAACAAAATCATCACTGAGGTACCCTTCCAGGGCTGAGACTCTGGTGAGGTATGTGAGGTATTCACCTTGGGAGCAAATTAAGAGGGCACCAAAAAGCTTAGTTATCAACGTGATATTTTAATGTAATATTTTAAAATAAAAATGCAGAAAAAATTCATGATGAACAAGATACCAAGTTTTTAATAAGCCAACATCAGTATTGATTTTTTTTTTCTTTTTGCCTTAGGCTTTAATACGGCTAGACTAGGCATTTGAACTCTTCCTCCCTTCCATTCTGATGAAACACAACTGTGAGTGTGCATAATGAAATGTGCCAACAAGGCCCCTTGTGCTGATTGCATCACTGTAGGCTGGGGGAAGGGCTGTTGGGAGGGCACCTGGCTCAGACCATGGGAGCAGGCATCCAAGAACTGACAGGGAACCTTCAGAATGTGTCCTGGAGGGAGGCTTCCAAGTTCAAGAAAGAGGCTTCCGCTGGAGCACAGACACTCTTTAAAACCATTACCTGTCTGCACATGGAAATAGCAGAGCCATGTACAGGGTTTTCACATTTCTTCAGGCAGCCATTCAGCCCTGCATACTGAAGAAGGGATCTCTGCCGTGAAACAGTGAAATACTTCATTTCCTGTTCTACCAAACATCCCTGTCCTGATAAAGTCCAGAGACAAACATAATATTGGTTGTTTTCTCTCACTCTAGGAGCAAACGCAGGGAGGGGGGACAAAGAGAGGGCTTTCTCTTCGCTGAGTGCTGAGAGAACACAGTAAATGATGACAGGAAGGATCTGTATTCTGAGAGACTTTAAGTGAGTCGTGACAACCTCCCACACAGTGTCCCCAAGGGGCAGTGGGGGTGGGGATGAGGCATCTCATCAGTGCTGTTAGTGAGTCAGGCTGCCGTCAAGGCTTCAGCTCTCCTCTGCTAACGTAGGCAGGGGGAAAATGCCAAAGGAGAAATGCTCCTTACTTTACGTGAATGGGAGAATATTTGGGGAGTGAAAATTAATCCTTTTTGAAAATAAATGATGGAAGAGGGCCACTCTTGAACCAAGCACCATACTGCCTAATAGCTGTGGCCAGCCAGACAACGCAAGCGGGATGATGTTGGGGAAAGCAGGCAGGGCTGACCTCAGACATCCAGTAGGTGATATGACTCCATTCCTGGTGCCTCTGCATCACTGTGCTCCACCTGCAATGCCAATATCCTCCCTGGGCCATTTCCACTGACTTTTGGTTAAACACTGAGGACTAAGTTTAGAATGGTCACCTAACATGTTATTTTTTCCATTTTACTAGAAAGTTATTGATTAATAAGAATTTTAAGGAATCCCTAAAGGTAATATATTAGGCATTTGTAATAGGCAGTAGGTAGATATTCCGTGGCTGGAGATCCTGTGAAACATACAGGACACTGGAGATGTCCACTTACCAGATAGTGAGCTCAAAACAGTTAAAAAGGAAAACTTAAGGCTAACTACCTAGATTCCCCTTCAGTGTTCTTGCATCAGAAATACAGAAAGTGAGAGACTAGAAACACTCTCAGAGAACAAGGCTTGCTTAGCAGATGGGGGCCTTTGCTCTTGGCATTCCTTCTTTGGAATATTTCCCCCATATCTCTTCCCCCGAGTGCCCCTCCATCCCCACCCCTCACCTCCAATATATCCACATCCTAATTCCCAGAACCAGAGTATGCTAGGTTTCAAGTCATGGAGCAATAAAATGGAATTAAGGTTGATAAGGGCTTCCCTGGTGGCTTAGAAGGTAAAGAGTCTGCCTGCAGTGTGGGAGACCCGGGTTGGATCCCTGGGTTGATAAACATCTGTCTGTTGAGAAGCGGAGATTATGCTGGATTATCCAGGTGGGCCAAAGTAATCACAACTGTCCTAAGTAGAAGAGGCAGGCAGAGAAAGGGGCGGAAGGTCACTGAGATCCAATGTGCTGCCTTTGAAGATGAAGGAAAGGGAACATGCCTTAAGAAATGTGTGTATCCCCTAAAATTTGAAAAAGGCAAGGAAACTAATTCTTCCATAGAGCCTCTAGAAGGAATGCAGCCATACAAACACCCTGCTTTTGGCCTCTAAGACCCACTTTGGACTTCTGAGGACAAAAATCTGTAACATAATAAATTTGTGGTTTTAAGGCACTCTAGTAATTTGTTACAGCAGCAGTAGGAAACTAACTCATCTTATCATTTGATATAAGTTCAAATGTCATCTTCTTAAAGAGACTTCTTGACATCTCTCACCTGATAAAAGGATTTTCCCATGCCCAAGCACTTTCTGTAACACAGTTTCATTTTGTCTGCTTATTATTATCTATAATTACTTTACTAATGTGTTTACTACTCTTCCCTCTCACAAGAATGTAAGTTCTAGGAGGGTAGTGCTTTTCTTTTCACATATTATCTTCATTGTTTTGCATACTACTACATGGTAGACACTTAAATAATATCTGCAGTATGAATAAGCCTTAAGCTAACAAGGACCATAACATTCCTGCTACTGCTCAGTCACAAAGGGCAGCTGTTTACAAGTGTCCCGTGGCCAGTAGGTCCTGTGTTGCAAGGAACTCTCAACGCAAAACAGGAATAGAAGCAGAAATAACCAACAGAATTTTCCAAGTAGTTAATCAGTTGCTTAATTTTAGGTACCTGGAAGCAAAAAGTCTGAACAGTAAGCACTATCCCTGGACACCTGTAGACCAGACAGCCTTCTGTGACAGCCAAGAAGTAACCAGTTGGGGATGACCAGAAAGCTGTGAAAATATATGTAATTAACTCAGGTTGCCTAAATTGTAACTACAGTTCATAAGGGAATCACATGTAAAAACACCTTAAAACGTAAGGACAAAAGGATAAATAAAAAAAGGCCAAAGAGTGAGATTACTTTCTTTTTATATTGATAGTCAATTCTTTAATGGAAATTCTGAAGAGTATCAGGTTCAGCTAAAGACAATAGTGTTGATAATCTCCAGTTGTCTGGTCAGATACAAGCAGACCTGATTCCTAAAAGGAGAGCCACAGAAAGAGCTGGCTGCCAGGGACATTGGATCCGCCTACTCCAGTGAGGAAGGCGGTGCTGTCTCGTCTTCCAGGCCCACGTGCCCAACCAGCTGGGACTTGCCTAGAGCCGCGCATAAATCAAAAGGGCCGCACACCCTCCCAGCCCAGAACAAAGCCAGCAGTAAACAGCCCGAGGGCCCTACGCTCAGCCAGCCAATGGCCATAGAAATGGGGCGGGACCTCGGAGATAATGGACCAATAGGACGTGGTGGGGTTTGAGCTCTCCCCGGGTCCTAGGGCGGCCCGGGTTTGCAGCCCCCGCCCCAGGCCATGTGGGAGCCTCACAGCGCCGAGGCGTTCGCGGCGGCCCTCGGCGGGGTCTTCTTCCTGCTTCTCTTGGCCCTGGGCGTCCGCCAGCTGCTGAAGCAGAGACGGCCGTCGGGCTTCCCCCCGGGACCGTCGGGGCTGCCATTTATCGGCAACATCTACTCACTGGCTGCCTCGGCCGAACTCCCCCATGTCTACATGAAAAAGCAGAGCCAGGTGTACGGCGAGGTACAGCCGACGGAGGGCCCGCGCCTTCCTACCCGGGGTGGGGGATGAGGGTGGGGTCCGATGCTCGTGGGTGCCAGTTATCGGGACCCTGCTCCGTGTGCCCGCAGAGTGGAAGCAAGCCCGCTTCCTGTGCCAGGGGACAAGGTCCTCGGGCGGCGCCACTGCCGGGGCGGGGGAAAGGAGAGACCTGCCCATCCTTGAGCCCCGCCCACCCGACGCCCGCGGAAACTGGGCGGGATTCTCCCGCCCCCGAGGGCGAAGAGGTGCAGCTCCCGCGCATGTGCAGTGGGACCCTGGACCCGCGCCGGCCGCCCCGTCGGGCGTCACAGGCGCCGCTTTCAGCGTTCTCGGGTTCACGGAACCTCACGCCGGGCGCGTAGGTTAGCCTCCCCTCACGGCTTCTGTGGCTTTCTAGGGTTGAGTTAGTGGTTAATAGGAGGTCGTTGGGTATTTGCATTTGAGAATGGCTGGTCTAGGCGTCTGCTGTGAGGAGGAGAGAGCGCAGGTGAAGGACTGTGAAAGAGCCAATGAATTAATGAGTGAAGATCAGTGCGTGTCCCACTGCTGTGCTGTCTACTTAGAGATAGGAGCGCCCCCACAGCAACACGGAGCCTCCCTTGCACTATGACCTCTCAAGGGCAGGTCTTCTAGTCCTCCTTTTTTTCGGCGGGTGAAACTTTGGTGCAGACCTGCTGAGTGAGTTGTAGGTTGCCCCACAGCTGCCAAAAGCAAGAGAAAGGCCAAAGTCCTAGCTTGCCTTGGGAAGAGTGTCCTAACGAGGAGGCAGAAGATTCCAGAAAACGCCTTGACCCAGCTCAGTTAACTTGTTTTAAATCCTTTCCTTTATAGGAAACTACTAGCCAGACTCTGCCAGATTCTGGGATGAAGAGGTGAAGAAGGCAGTGTCAACTTAAAAATTCGCTGATGTGAGAGTTGGGAGTTAAGTTTTATTTGGGGGCAGAATGAGGACTGCAGCCTGGGAGACAGCACCTCAGATAGCTCTGAGAAGCTGTTCCAAAGGCAACGGGGTAAGGCCAGTATTTATGTGACTTTGGTGAAGGGGTTGTTCATGTAATCTGGGCACATATTTTTGCAGAAGGTTTTAGTAGTCGTGAGGAGCAGATGTCACCATGAAGGAGTTGAGTGCTTTTCTAGATATGAAGAGATGCTTGAATTGGGTTCATAAAATTAGCTTCTGAAAATAGCAGCCTATCTGAAGACCTGTTCTGCCAGTTTTCTGGAATGGAGTGCCTCATTCCTGGTTTCCATCCTGACTGCCTTCAGGGCATATTGAAGGTCAGCAGGTACAACAGCACTTGATGTAGAGGTAGATGGCAAGTGCCAATTTGTAGTGGACAGCAGTCACAGCCTGATTTTAGGTAGTTACAGTCCAGTGAGAGAGAAAAATTAATGATCAACCACAAATTGTGTTGTGAAAAAACAGGACTGTTTGGCAGTTGTGGCATTCAGGTTTGGGATTACATTCGTATTTAAACCAGTTTTTACAAGAACTATTCTAAGTTTCTGCAGTTCACTAATGGTCTGTATCACTATGGGAAGGCTGGACTTAAAGCAAATAGGTATAATTCTTAGATTTTATTTTCCATCCTCCAGTTTATGAGTGTATTTGCATGGTTTTCATCAAATATATTTGATTTCTGGTGTGTTGCTATGAAGCATCATCAGTATTACAGAGAAATCAGAAGATGTGAAAGTACAAGACCAGAGGTTGAATCCTCTTTCGTCAGATAAAACTTGACCTTTTCTTGTCTAAATCTTAATTTTGCCTGATATGCATCATGGCAATAATAATAACTGAACATAGCTAAGTGCTACTCAAATGTTCTTGGTTATTAATTACTGAAGAATTTATTAGACCTAGAAAGTAGAAGGTGTTTTTAGACCAGCTATGTGAAATGCTGTCATTCAGAATAGGAAGTTGTTTTTCGTATGTACATATTTGAAGCGAAAGGAACTCAATCTTCTATGAACATTGTTTTTGGGGAGAGGGTAATCTAAATCTCCCAGTAATGTAGCCTGCCAGGCTCCTTTGTCCATGGAATTTTCCAGGCAAGAATACTGGAACAGGTTGCCATTTCTTACTCCAGAGGATCTTCCCAACCCAGGAATTGAACCTACGTCTTCTGTGTCTCCTACACTGGCAGGCAGATTCTGTACCACTGTGGTGGTTGTTCAGTGGCTAATCATGTCTGATTCTGCAGTTCCATGAACTGCAGCACACCATACCTCCCTGTTCCTTACCGTCTCCCATTGAACTGGTGATCTCATCCACCCATCTCATCATCTGTCACCCTCTCCTTCTGCCTTCCATCTTTCCCAGCATCACGGTCTTTTCCAGTAAGTCAGCTTTTTATATCAGGTGGCCAAAGTATTGGAGCCTCAGCTTCAACATCAGTCCTTCCAGTGAATATTCAGGGTTGATTTCATTTAGGATTGACTGGTTTGATCTCCTTGATCTCCAAGGGACTCTCAAGAGCCTTCTCCAGCACCACCAGAGCCACCTGCAAATCTCCCAGTAGTAGGACCCAAAAAACTGGGTTTACTTTTTTGAGGGTGTGGAACCAAAAGATACAACCAACCCAAAGATCAGTAGAAGGATTTACTACTTGCAAGTAAAAAGAACACAAGGAAAAAAAAAGAAGAAGAAGAAAAAAAAACACAAGGGATCTTTCCCAAGGCAGCTTCTCTAGACAAGAAAATTGGGAATGTTTTAAGTTAAGGAATATGCATATTCATGAAGGCTTGGGCAGAGTGTGCACATTCATAAAAGGGCTTGAGCAAGAAAATTCAGCATAGAACAGGGGCAGAGGTTGACAGGTCAAGACAGTTGATTGAAGTCCCAGAGTTCAAAAAAGTTCTTCTTAGGTTCTAGTTGATCTGGCAGTTGAACGCTTCAGGCTAATGTTTACCATTTAAAGAGAACTGGGATTCTTTACAGCTGATACATTATCTTTGCTATTGTTACTTGTTTTGCATGATAAATCATTTGTTCTTTTATTCCCTTAAGATTAATTACTGAGACCTGTACAAGGGCAAGTATTGTGCCCAGGCTTAGATCCCCAGATAGCTTAGGCAGAAAATGACTTCTCTTAAGAAAGCCATCCCTGGTTCGTTCTTTCTGAGGACCCCCTATCCTATCTGATGATAAACAATAGAATATATGAATGTGTTGGAAGATTGTCATCTTGGGATAGGTAGCTCTAGTTTAATGGATTTGTGGCACGAATTACCAGTTTTATTGCTGATGCAACTATTTAAGGCAGTCATGGATCTTTACAGGCTTCCCTGATAGCTTAGTTGGTGAAGAATCCGCCTGCTTTGCAGGAGACCCCGGTTTGATTCCTGGGTTGGGAAGAGCCTCTGGAGAAGGGATAGGCTACCCACTCTAGTATTCTTGGGCTTCCCTTGTGGCTCAGCAGGTAAAGAATCTGCCTGCAATTTGGGAGACCTGGGTTTGATCCCTGGGTTGCGAAGATGCCCTGGAGAAGGGAAAGGCTACCCACTCCAATATTCTGGCCTGAAGGATTCCATGGACAGCATTGTCCATGGGGTTGCAAAGAGTCGGACACAACTGAAGAACTTTCATTTTCACTTTGGATCTTTACAAAGTGGTCTTTTTACTGAAGGTGGTAAAATCAGATAGGACTAATAGAGTGGAGGGAGAAGAAAATGCAGAAATTGAAAGGATGTATGCATTGAAGAGTAGACATTGTTTGAGTAACTATTTCAGACTTAAGTTGAAAATCACCTAAAGTATTAACCCTTTAATCTGATAGCTCTTTATCTTAATTGTGAAACACCGCTACAGGTCTCTCATTGTCTTAGAGGTATTTTCCAGTTATGACAAAGTCTCAGAGTTGGTTGAGGGTTTTTTTTTTTTTTTTGGTTTGAGTTTTTAAAGTACTATACTTTTTTTGGAAGTGGAAGGAAACTATTATCTCCGGTACTTCTAGAAGGTTGTGGAAAGTTGTTTATATGTCTTACTTATAAATAGAATCTTATTTTTCTGCTATGTTTCATGATGATCTGGAGATGTGTGCTCAGAGAAAGTCATGGACTTTAAAATTGCTTATGAGAACTGACAATCACTTCAAGTGACACCTACTTTTATGAAGTCTGTGAATTCAATTCTCCTTCATAATTCGTGAAGACAACTGGTCCTGAAGTCTTATACAGTCATTTTAAAGACATTCTTATATAGAAGTGTACCACACTGAGACTTAACATTACCTTAGAGATCCACCCTGAATGTGTAAGCTTCTGCAGTGACTAATCTTAACCCAGATTTTCAGAAGCATTCCCTAGCTAGCAAAGCTAGTATGAGGGGTTTTAACAGATTATTTTCAGGTAATGCACATAAGGATAATAAAATAATTACTTTGAGGCAAATGGAGTTGACAACCTATAATTTATTTATACAGTAAGCATTTATTGAGATTTATGCAAGGCATTGAATGAGATTTTGTGGAGTGTTCAAAGATGAAAGGGATGAAATCACTGAATCAAAAGAGTTTATAATTTAGCCGACAAGCAGAAGATAAGCATTCATATAATGCTTCTGGTTTTTTGTTCTAGTGCTATATTGCTTCAGTCGTGTCTGACTCTTTGTAACCCACCAGACTCCTCTGTCCATGGCATTTACCAGGGAAAAATACTGGAGTGGGTTGCCATTTCCTACTCCAGGGGATCTTCCTGACCTAGGGATTGAACCTGTGTCTCCTGCATTGGCAGGCAGGTTCTTTTCCATTAGCACCACCTTTGGTAGTATTAAATAAGTTCCATGGGAGCTTTTAAGCATGTGCTGTGGTGGTTCAAGGGAAAAAGAGAGTGCACCAAGAAAGGCTTCATGGTGGTTGGTCCCTAAAGACTTGGTGGTTTGGACAGTATGGCAGTCAAGGGAGGTATTCCAAATGAGAATACAGCCCAAGCAAATGTTGAAAAATATGGCAATTACCAGTTTTTATCAAAGGACTTTTTACATTCCTGTTATTGGCACTTAGTCTATAGTGTTGTAAAACATGCTTAAATGTGTTTCTCCACCACTTTTCTTTAATTCAACATATATTTATCAGTTGTTAGCATATGCTATATACTATCCTAGTTGTGGAGATTTAGCAATGAACAAAACAAATGAAAGTCCCTGCTCTTGTGTGGCTTACATTATAGTGGTGGAAGGGAGGCAGTAAGCAGGATAGGAACAATGTAAACACGATAAGTATATAACGTGTTAGAGTATAAAGTATAAAATGACTCAATTAGGGTAAGGAAGATGGAGAATGTTAGGGGGTGAAATTTTAATGGGTTAGAGCAGGACTCACTGCAAAAAAGGCATTTGAGCAGATACTTAGAGGAAGTGAAGTAGCATGCCATGGGAATATCTAGGGGAAGAACATTCCAGGCCAAGGGAACAAGTACTAAGGCCTTGAAGCAGGAATATGCCATGTTGAGAGTCACCTGTAAAGACACAAGAGGCAATTGAGATCATATAGGGGAGAAATGAAAGATTAGAGTGATGAAGATTACTCTAGATGAAAGATTAGTGATGAAGCTGGTAAAAAACTGTCATATTTTGTCTGTATTTTTAAGTCGAAACATCATGACGGCTGAGAAGTGATGTGGGGCTTGGGTGAAAAATGGAGTCAACATGGCCAGTTCGGGACTTCCCTGGCTGTCCAGTGGTTAAGAGTCTGTACTTCCCCTGCAGGGGGTGCAGGTTCAGTCTGTAATCAGGGAACAATGATCCAGCATGCTGTATAGTGTGGCTGAAAAAAAAAAAATCCAAAACAAAAAACACTATGAGCACTTTGGGACCTGAATATAGTTGTAGGACATCTACCTGGTGTCCCAGAATTGCTTGATATATGGAAAATCACACATCTGGTGTCATAAGTATTGTAGTTGAGTGCTGAGAGTTGAGGAGACACACAGGAGGAAGTTTTTCCTTTGTACTTACTTAAAATTATGCTCCTGGGAAAAAACTTATAAGACCATCCCATTACTGCTTTTGGAACTGAAAAGAGCCCCTCCTTTGCTCAGCTGGTAATCACTTCCTTTGTATTCAAACTCTCACACTGCCACTTTTGACATACCATTGCTTATGGCAGGCAGTCCACAACCCTTCCCCAAAGTTCTGGGTGTACCTTCTGCTCCGTTAGCAGAGTACATCCTTGTGCCAAAAACTCTATTGCTCAGTTTGTTGATTCTGTTGCTACTTGGAGGTCTTGATCACTTTTTCTTCTGTAAATACTTCTGTTGAACTTCAGTTTTCTGCTAGGCCTTCTGGTTTCCTCCATCCCACCCCCCAAAAATTGTGTGAATCATGGCCAAAATCCATTCTGCCTGTTTGCACAGAGATGAGGCTTGACTCAGTTATTTTTGGCACTTGAAAATCCTCAGCCAGGGACTTCCGTGGTGGTCCAGTGATTGAGAATCTGCCTTCTAATGCAGGGGACATGGGTTTGATCCCTGGTTGGGGAACTAAGATACTGCAGGGTAACTACTGCAACAGGAGAAAGCCTGGATGCTGCAGCAAAGAGCCCTGTACACAGTGATGAAGACCCTGCACAGCCAAAATTTTTTTTTTTTTTTAAGTTCTCAGTCAGTGCCTAAGAGGATGAGGATAAGCAATCATTGCATCTCACTGATAAGGCAGCACTGTTCCTTCACTGGATTAGGCCCCTATGTAGGGCTAACTAGAATAGAGTACAGGAGGTATGACATTTTAAGTGAACTGTAATGAAGCACCTGAGAAACTACAAAAAGGAATGGAATGGATATTCCATCTTTTAGCTCAGAGGCAGCCACCTGTACCTAAGTGGCACATGCCTGTAGCTCCAAGGTCAGATATCCTTAGGGCCCTCTGTTAACTTCATGGCATTCAGGGGTCTAAATAAATAAACCAGTGAGTTTCAGTATGTTTTGTTGAGGAAGGGGAGATTTTCCCCTCTGCCCCTCTTAAATTCTTATGGCTGGACTAATAGAATTGACACAAGACAGAGTAACAGGAGAGAAAGAAACACATTAGAATTCATGCGCATGGAGGTCTCGTAGAAATGGGATGGAGGAAATGACCAAAGCAGGCAGATTTTATATTTTTTAGATAAAGAACCAATAAATTTGCAAATAATTGACAGGACAAGAAAAACTTTGGCTTTGGGTGACCAGTTAGTGAAGAATCTAAACAGGTCTTGTGATTGGGTAGTAAATTAAAGAAGTAACAAGATTTGTTTAAAAAAGGCTCCTCAGCCCCAAATTCTCTATCTGTGGTAATTGGCAGTAAGGGGTCCTAGGGCTTCCCTGGTGGCTCAGGTGGTAAAGAATCTGCCTGCAATGCAGGAGACCCAGGTTCAATCCCTGGATCAGGAAGATCCCTGGAGAAGAAAATGGCAACCCACTCCAGTATTCTTGCTGGAGAATTCCATGGACAAAGGAGCGTGGTGGGCCCAGTCCGTGGGGCCATAAAGAGCTGGGACACAACTAAGCGACTAACACCTCCTCCATATGCAAAGAGTGCACTTTTCACATGAAAGATTTATTTCCTACTTTCAGGGAGATACAAAGAGAGAGGTGTCCCTCGTTTTTATTTATTTCTATTTTGGTTTGCAGGATCTCAGTCCCTACTAGGGATCACACCCAGGCCACAGCAGTGACAGTTCCAAGTCCTAACCAGTAGGCCACCAGGGAACTCCCTAGAGTATCCTTTTTGTGTTGGCCATTTCTTCAGTAACTTTTAATTCAAAATAATTAATGTGCCATTGAGGCATATTTTGGGATTACATATCCCGGGCCCCAACAAAAGTTGTCTTCAGTTTCAAAAGTCTCTTGGGCCTTTGACAATCCCCTCCCCTACCTAAACCTAGACTAATAAATGATATATAGATGGAGTCACCTCCTCAATTTTTCTTGGAAATAAACAGAGATTCTGAGATATCGTTGACTGTTTTGAGTTGGAATGAATTTTAAAAGAGCATATAACTCAAGTATTTCTTGATTTCCTATAGCAGCCCCGAAGCCCAAAAAGATTAAGGGTTCTATCCAGTGTCCTATATCTGTTTAATGGCAAAGCTTAAAGTATAACCCAGACCTCCTGAATCTGGTACTGTTTTCATTACACCATTTACAAGATTATGTCTTGAGTCACTGAATGCATAATAAAATCATTGTGCTTGATATGCCTTATAGAGAGAAGGCACTCTAAACTGTCAGCTGGGTAATAAATGCCAGTATTTTCAAGAAATAAATACTGGGAGAGCTGGACTTAGTACATGTAGATTTCTCTGGTTATATTTCTCAATATATTTTGCCATTTAAATGTTTTTCTTTTCTTCTCAAAGATCTTCAGTTTGGATCTTGGAGGTATATCAGCTGTGGTTCTAAATGGCTATGATGTAGTAAAGGAATGCCTTGTTCATCAAAGTGAAATTTTTGCAGACAGACCATGTCTTCCTTTATTCATGAAGATGACAAAAATGGGAGGTATGTTTGTTTTCACCTATCTAGTAATTTACTAAACTATTATAAATCGCAGTTTTTATTTTATATAAATTTATTACATAGTAGTGACTGAACAGCTTGCTTACAACAGACTTAGCAACTGAACAACAACAATCACATAGTAGAGATTGGTTTCTGTTATACTGATTAATTTTTATTGTTCAGTTACAAAGTCATGTCTGACTCTGCAACCCCGTGGACTGCAGCGCGCCAGGCTCCTCTGTCCTCCGTTATTTCCTGGAGTTTGTGAAAATTCATGTCTGTTGAATCAATGATGCTATTACCATAACATCTCATCCTCTGCCGCCCCTTCTCCTTTTGCCTTCAATCTTTCCTAGAATCAGGGTCTTTTCCAGTGAATTAGCTCTTCACATCAGGTGACGAAAGTATTGAAGCTTCAGCCTGGCATCAGTCTTTCCAATGAATATTTAGAGTTGATTTCCTTTAGAATTGACTGGTTTGATTTCCTTGCTCTCCAAGGGAGTCTCAGAGAGTCTTGTCCAGCACCACAGTTTGAAAACATCAGTTCTTCTGTGCTCAGCCTTCTTTATGGTCCGACTCTCACATCTCTACCTGACTACTGGAAAAACTGTAGTCAGGCTTAAATTAAAGAAAGTAGGGAAAACCACTAGGACATTTAGGTATGACCTATATCAAATTCCTTATGATTATATAGTGGAGGTGATGAATAGATTAAAGGGATTAAATCTGGTAGACAGAGTGCCTGAAGATTGTGGACAGAAGTTCATACTGATTAATAGGAAAGCATTAATTAGTTAATTTAAGTTTTAGAACCTAACATTTGAGTACTTTCAGGCTGTATTACACTCATATTTTACATGCTAATTCTTCTGTTGTAATCTAGTTCTAATAAATACTGTAAATGATGTTTTAAAGAATTAGCACAGATATTAATATGTGCAGGTTTTGTGAAACAAGTATACATATGTGTGCACACATACTGGAATCAGAAGTATGTTTTAAGCTAGTCTTGAGTGCTTGGTGACATTTTATGATCATTTTACTTATAAGTTTCTAAACCCTGAAACAGCCTTTCTTAACTACTAATTAGTATGATATGTAAATGAAGAACTGTAGGGTATGTGTGAAGGACTAGTATTCTCTATGGTTTAGGCTTGATCAGTGTCAGATGATTATTCAACAAGAGAGAAAGGCTGAAAGTTAACAGAATGGATGAGAAGAAAGCAACAGAAGACTAACATAGAATGTTGATGTCTGTACATCTGTTTTCATACATAATAGTATGAGTTTTTATGAACTTCAAATTTTTCCAATTTAATGAGAGCTTCACACTTCATTTCCAAGAAAAATACAGTAGCTTGGTTACAAAGACTAAAAAAATAGATTTAAAATGAAAAAGATAAAAAGTAACTATTAAATTGCAAAGCCAATCAACTTGTGCAAAGAAAACACCAATTTAAAAGGCTGAATTAAAAAATAAATGAATAAAAGGCTGAATTATCAGGCCAGAGTATGATGACCCTTGAAAGCAATAATATAACTAAAAAGCAAATCTCCAGCTTCTTCAAAACTCTTCTAAGTAGTAATTAGACCAAAGAAGAAATTATACCACAAGTATAATAGAAGACCTTTTAGGAAATTATGAAAATGAATGATATGATCAGAGTAATATTTAGGATAAAATATATGTTTTTTGGCATTGCCTTTTGTTGGAGTGAAAGGCATTCAATTGGAATTGGACGGGAATAAAAGCTGACCTTTTCCAGTTCCGTGGCCACTGCTCAGTTTTCCAAATTTGCTGGCATATTGAGTGCAGCAATTTCATAGCATCATCTTTTAGGATTTGAAATAGCTCAGCTGGAATTCTGTCACCTCCACTAGTTCATAGTGATGCTTCCTAAGACCCCCTTGACTTTGCATTCCAGGATGTCTGGCTCTGAGTGAGTGATCACACCATCATGGTTATCTGAGTCATGAATATATTTTTTGTATAGTTCTTCTGTGTATTCTTGCCACCTCTTCTTTATATCTTCTGATTCTGTTAGGTCCGTACCATTTCTGTCCTTTATTGTGCCCATCTTTGCATGAAACGTTCCCTTGGTATCTCTGATTTTCTTGAGGAAATCTCTAGTCCTTCCAATTCTGTTGTTTTCCTCTTTTTTTTTCCACTGATCAGTGAGGAAGGCTTTCTTTTTTTTTTTCCTTTTTTTTTTTTTTTTGAGGAAGGCTTTCTTATCTCTTGTTGCTATTCTTTGAAACTCTGCATTCAGATGGGTATATCTTTCCTTTTCACTTTTGTCTTTAGCTTCTCTTCTTTTCACAGCTATTTGTAAGGCCTCCTCAGACAACCATTTTGCCTTTTTGCATTTCTTTTTCTTGGGGATGGTCTTGATCTCTGCCTCCTGTACAGTGTCATGAACCTCCTTCCACAGTTCTTCAGACACTCTATCAGATCTAATCCCTTGAATCTGTTTCTCACTTCCACTGTATAATTGTAAGGGATTTGATTTAGGTCATACCTGAATGGTCTAGTGGTTTTCCCTACTTTCTTCAATTTAAGTCTGAATTTGGCAATAAGGAGTTCATGATCTGAACCACAGTCAGCTCCTGGTCTTGTTTTTCCTGACTATATAGAGCTTCTCCATCTTTGGCTGCAAAGAATATAATCAGTCTGATTTTGGTATTCACCATCTGCTGATGTCCATCTGTAGAGTCTTCTCCTGTGTTGTTGGAACAGGGTGTTTGCTACGACCAGTGCGTTCTCTTGGCAAAGCTTTGTTAGTCTTTGACCTGCTTCGTTTTGTACTCCAAAGCCAAATTTGCCTGTTACTTCAGGTGTTTCTTGACTTCCTGCTTTTGCATTCCAGTCCCCTATAATGAAAAGGACATCTTTTTTGGGGTGTTAGTTTGAGAAGGTCTTGTAGGTCTTCATAGAACCGTTCAACTTAAGCTTCTTCAGCATTACTGGTTGGGGCATAGACTTGGATTGCTGTGATATTGAATGGTTTGCCTTGGAAATGAACAGAAATCATTCTGTCATTTTTGAGATTGCATCCAAGTACTGCATTTCATACTCTTTTGATGACTATGATGGCTGCTCCATTCTTCTAAGGGATTCTTGTCCACAGTAGTAGATATAATGGTCATCTGAGTTAAATTCACCCATTCCAGTCTATTTTAGTTCACTGATTCCGAAAATGTTGATGTTCACTCTTGCCATCTCCTGTTTGACCACTTTCAGTTTGCCTTGATTCATGGACCTAACATTCCAGGTTCCTATGCAGTATTGCTCTTTACAGCATTGGACTTTACTTCCATCACCAGTCACATCCACAACTGGGTGTTGTTTTCCTTTGGCTCCATCTCTTCATTCTTTTTGGAGTTATTTCTCCACTAGCGCATTCAAGTATGACCTAAATCAAATCCCTTACAATTATACAGTGGAAGTGAGAAATAGATTCAAGGGATTAGATCTGATAGAGTGCCTGATGAACTATGGACGGAGGTTCATGACATAGTACAGGAGACAGGGATAAGACCATCCCTAAGAAAAAGAAATGCAAAAAGGCAAAATGGCTGTCTGAGGAGGCCTTACAAATAGCTATGAAAAGAAGAGAAGTGAAAAGCAAAGGAGAAAAGGAAAGATAAACCTATTTGAATGTAGAGCTTCAAAGAAGAGCAAGGAGAGATAAGAAAGCCTTCCTCAGTGATCAGTGGAAAAAAATAGAGGAAAACAATAGAATGGGAAAGACTAGAGATCTCTTCAAGAAAATTAGAGATACTAAGGGAACATTTCATGCAAAGATGGGTTCAATAAAGGACAGCAACGGTACGGACCTAACAGAATCAGAAGATATAAAGAAGAGGTGGCAAGAATACACAGAAGAACTATACAAAAAAGATATTCATGACCCAGATAATCACAATGGTGTGATCACTCACCTAGAGCCAGACATCCTGGAATGTGAAGTCAAGTGGGCCTTAGGAAGCATCACTACGAACTAGTGGAGGTGATGGAATTCCAGTTGAACTATTTCAAATCCTAAAAGATGATGCTGTGAAAGTGCTGCACTCAATATGCCAGCAAATTTGGAAAACTCAGCAGTGGCCACAGGAATGGAAAATGTCAGGTTTCATTCCAATCCCAAAGAAAGGCAATCCCAAAGAATGCTCAAACTACTGCACAGTTGCACTCATCTCACACGCTAGTAAAGTAATGTTCAAAATTCTCCAAGCCAGACTTCAACAATACATGAACCGTGAACTTCCAGATGTTCAAGCTGGTTTTAGAAAAGGCAGAGGAACCAGAGATCAAATTGCCAATATCTGCTGGATCATTGAAAAAGCAAGAGAGTTCCAGAAAAACATCTTATTTCTGCTTTATTGACTATGCCAAAGCCTTTGACTGTGTGGATCACAATAAACCATGGAAAATTCTGAGAGAGATGGAATACCAGACCACCTAACCTGCCTCTTGAGAAATCTGTATGCAGATCAGGAAGCAACAGAACAGGACATGGAACAGCAGACTGGTTCCAAATAGGAAAAGGAGTATGTCAAGGCTGTATATTGTCACCCTGCTTATTTAACTTATATGCAGAGTACATCAGGAAAAATGCTGGACTGGAAGAAGCACAGGCTGGAATCAAGATTGCTGGGAGAAATATCAATAACCTCAGATATGCAGATGACACCACCCTTAGGGCAGAAAGTGAAGATGAACTAAAAAGCCTCTTGATCAAAGTGAAAGAGGAGAGTGAAAAAGTTGGCTTAAAGCTCAACATTCAGAAACTAAGATCATGACATCTGGTCCTATCACTTCAAGGCAAATAGATGGGGAACAGTGGCTGACTTTATTGTTTGGGGCTCCAAAATCACTGCAGATGGTGATTGCAGCCATGAAATTAAAAGATGCTTCCTCCTTGGCAGTAAAGTTATGACCAATCTAGTCAGCATATTAAAAAGCAGAGATATTACTTTGTCAACAAAGGTGTGTCTAGTCAAGGCTATGGTTTTTCCAGTAGTCATGTGTGGATGTGAGAGGTGGACTATAAAGAAAGCTGAGCACTGAAGAAGTGATGCTTTTGAACTGTGGTGTTGGAGAAGACTCTTGAGAGTCCCTTGGACTGCAAGGAGATCCAACCAGTCCATCCTAAAGGAGATCAGTCCTGAGTGTTCATTGGAAGGACTGATGCTGAAGCTGAAACTCCAATACTTTGGCCACCTGATGGGAAGAGCTGATTCATTGGAAAAGACCCTGATGCTGGGAAAGATTGAAGGCAGGAGGAGAAGGGGATGACAAAGGATGAGATGGTTGGATGGCATCAGCGACTCAATGGACATGAGTTTGGGTAAACTCTGGGAGTTGGTGATGGTCAGGGAGGCCTGGCATGCTGCAGTCCATGGGGTCACAAAGAGTTGGACACGACTAAGCAACTGAACTGAACTGATCTCCCGTAGCATATTGGGCACCTACCAACCTGGGGAGTTCTTCTTTCAGTGTCCTATCCTTTTGCCTTTTCATGCTGTTCATGGGGTTCTCAAGGCAAGAATGCTGAAGTGGTTTGCCATTCATTTTCCAGTGGACCTTGTTTTGTTGGAACTCTCCACCATGACCCACCCATCTTGGGTGGCCCTACATGGCATGGCTCATAGTTTCATTAAGTTAGACAAGGCTGGGGTCCATGTGATCAGTTTGGTTAGTTTTCTGTGATTGTGGTTTTCATTCTATCTACCCTCTGATGGATAAAGATAAGAGGTTATGGAAGCTTCCTGATGGGAGAGACTGACTGAGGGGGAATCTGGGTCTTGTTTTGATGGGCGGGGCCATGCTCAGTAAATCTTTAATCCAATTTTCTGTTGATGGGCGGAGCTGTGTTCCCTCCCTGTTGTTTGACCTGAGGTCAAACTATAATGGAGGTAACCTCCTTCAAAAGGTCCCATGCAGGCACTGCTGCATTCAGTGCCCCTGACCCTGAAGCAGGCCACGGTTGACCCACGCTTCCACCAGAGACTCCTGGACACTCCCAGGCAAGTCTGGGTCAGTGTCTTGTGGGGTCACTGCTCCTTTCTCCTGGGTTCTGGTGCACACAAGGTTCTGTTTGTCCCCTCCAAGAGTCTGTTTCCCCAATCCCGTGTAAGTTCTGGTGGCTCTATGGTGGGATTGATGGTGACCTCCTCCAAAAGGGCTTATGCCGTCCATACCCAGGTCTACTGCACCCAGAGCTCCTCCCCCTGCGGCAGGCCGCTGCTGGCCCATACCTTCGCAGGAGACACTCATACACAGCTCTGGCTCAGTCTCTGTGGGATCTCTGGGTCCTGGTGTGCACAAGGTGTGTTTGAGCCCTCTGAGTGTCTCTGGTGGGTAAGGGGTTTGATTCTAAACATGATTTCACCCCTCCTACCCTCTTGCTGGGGCTTCTCCTTTGCCCTTGGACATGGGGTATCTTTTTTTGGTGGGATCCAACATTCTCCAGTCGACGGTTGTTCAGCAGTGAGTTGTAGTTTCAGAGTTCTCACAGGAGACGATGAGCACATGTCCTTCTACTCTGCTATCTTACGCCACTGGAAAGGGTGTAATCCCAAAGAATTTCCAATCCCAAAGAATTTCCAGTCCCAAAGAAAGGAAATGCCAAAGAATGTTCAAACTACCACACAATTACAGTCATCTCACATACTAGCAAAGTAATGCTCAAAATTCTCCAAGCCAGGCTTCAGCAGTATGTGAACCATGAATTTCCAGATGCAGTCCCTTGAACTGCAAGGAAGTCTAACCAGTCCATCCTAAAAGAAATCAGCCCAGATTCTTTATTGGAAGGACTGATGCTGAAGCTGAAGAAAGTTCGATACTTTGGCCACCTGATGGGAAGAATTGACTCATTTGAAAAGACCCTGAACCTGGGAAAGATTGAAGGCAAGAGGAGAAGGGGACAACAGAGGATGAGATAGTTGGGTGGCGTCACTGATTTGATTGACACGAGTTTGAGTAAGCTCTGGGAGTTGGTGATGGACAGGGAGGCCTGGTGTGCAGCAGTCCATAGAGTCGCAAAGAGTCAGACATGACTGAGCGACTGAACTGAACTGAACCGAAGTGTTTTTTGAAACTATATAGTTTAGACTATTTTTATCATGAAGAATTAGTAAGTATTCAGCTTAAGATTTTCAAAGAAATAATAAGAGAAAAAAACAGAAACTTAGATGTGGGTTTTTTTTTGTTTTTTGGCCACAGTGTGCAGCTTATGGGATCTTAGTTCCTAACAAGGGATTGAACCCAGGCAAATGACAGTGAAAGTGTTGAGTCCTAACCACTGAACCACCAGGGAATTCCCTAGATGTGTGATTTTAAGATACATGTACACTGAACTGTATACACTTGGAACTGGGAAATCAGAGCCACCATAAACTCACTGTTTGAATAGGAAAAAATGGCCCCTTTTTGGTGGGTTTGGCCCATGCCTAGGCATACAGATTGGTCAGTGTAGGCTTATAGTCAGGTTCCTGTGTACCGTCTTATATGTAACCATATGCATCTGTTTCAGACACGTATCCTATATGTGTACATTTCCCTTGGGCTTGCTGTCATCTCAGTGCCTGTGCACTAGTTCTATACCTGCAGTGATCTTTCCTTGGATATCTGCTTGACTCACTTCATGCCTTTACTTATGTCACTTTCTCACTGAGTGTTTCCCTGACCACTCTTATGTCTCTCACCTTGCTAAAGAATTTGTTTGACTCTCCTCACTAGTATGTAAGGTCCATGAGAGACATCTTTGCCTCTTTTGTTTACTGATATATCCCTGGCACTTTAGCTCCAGAAATACATTCATGTTGAGTGAATAGTCATCTGGGAGTATGGAGAAGAAACGAGAGTATGGAATATAAGATTGTTGCATGGCCTTAAAGACCCTCTTATGTATGGTTAACTTTATCATAAGTTCCAAATTTTGTGCAACAGCTGTTGCACAAAAGTTGTTGAAATGTGAATTACATAGGCACCTCAGGTAGACTAGAGTACATGACATTTTTCATGATAGGTAGACCTATGTACCAACTATAAATGAAGTTCCAAGTGAACTACATGTTACATAAATATTTGTGCTGAAGATATTTTTTTCTTGATAGTTGATTTAAAGAGAAAATATTCCATAGTAGACGTATCAGAAGAGCAGAGTGTTCTGTGGAGACTCTGAAATTTTAAGGCAAGTAATATCAACATTAGAAGTTTGAGTTTCATGTTTGTCTTCTTAGTTTGGGCTGCTATAACAAAAATACAGAGAATGAGTGGCTTAAACAATAAACATTTATTGTCACAGATCTGGAGGCTATGGAGTTCAAGATCAAGGTGCTAGCAGAACAGTGTCTAGAAAGAGCCTGCTTCCATAGACTGTAGACTGCTGTCTTCTCTCTGTATCCTCAAAAAACCAAGGGCAATCATCTCTACCCACATCCCTTCTTATAAGGGCACATTGGGCTTCCCTGGTGGCATAGTGGTAAAGAATCCGCCTGCCAGTACAGGAGACAGCAGTTCGATCCCTGAGACAGCAGTTGGATCCCTCAGTCAGGAAGATCCCCTGGAGAAGGAAATTACCCACTCCCATATTCTTGCTGGGAAAATCCCATGGGCCGTGAAGCCTGGCAGGCTACAGTCCATGGAGTCAAAAAGAGTCTGATATGACTTAGCGAACAAAAAACAACAACAAACTCATTCATGAGGGCTCATGACCTAATTACTTACCAAAGGCCCCACCACCTGATACCATCACACTGGGAATTGGCAGCACATTTAGTCCTTTAGCACCTCCTTTTGGGTTGAGTCTTTTCACTACCTCATTCAGGCCATCCTTGCTTCTGCCAGTTATATTATCAGGTTTCATATGCCTTTAATGGGAGTAATTTGTATTCTAAAATCTAGTCTCTTAAAACAGAAAATTTCTAATTCTATAAGGATGATTTTTCAAGTATGTGTTTAGTCTAGAATAAAAAGTTGCCAATAGCACACACAGTCATTTGTCTGTTGTAAAATAGGCTTGTGGTAGAAGTTGAATAATAAAGTCATCCGTGCCTACTTCACCCAGGTTGAATTACACAACATAGTTCAATTTCTGGTGATGGAGATTATAGGTCTTTGTATTCCATAGCTACTTAGGAGTAAAGAATAGGGCTTGACTGCTGGGTCTAGTTTTAGTTTTATAGAAAATTTGAAGAAGAATGAATAACCATCTCCTCCCCAACCCCACTCTGCCACCATAGCATTTTTAACTGTTAGATACAGGGATGTAGGACTAATAAAAATTTTTAGTAGTTTTGTAAAAAGATAATTGGGAGAAAAATTACTAACCATCCCTTTTCTTTTTCTTTTTTTTAGGCTTACTCAATTCCAGATATGGCCGAGGATGGATTGATCACAGAAAATTAGCTGTAAATAGCTTTCGCTGTTTTGGATATGGCCAGAAATCTTTTGAATCTAAAATCTTAGAAGAAACCAAATTTTTCATTGATGCTGTTGAAACATACAATGGTAGCCCTTTTGACTTAAAACAATTAGTAACAAATGCTGTTTCAAACATAACCAATCTAGTCATTTTTGGAGAACGATTCACTTATGAAGACACTGATTTTCAGCACATGATTGAGTTATTTAGTGAAAACGTGGAACTAGCTGCCAGTGCCTCAGTCTTCCTCTATAATGCCTTTCCATGGATTGGCATCTTACCTTTTGGAAAACATCAACAACTGTTTAGAAATGCAGCTGTGGTCTATGACTTTCTCTCTAGGCTTATTGAAAAAACTTCCATCAACAGAAAACCACAGTCACCTCAGCATTTTGTTGATGCTTATTTAGATGAGATGGAAAGAAGTAAAAATGACCCATCATCTACTTTCTCCAAAGAAAACCTAATTTTTTCTGTGGGTGAACTCATCATTGCTGGAACTGAAACTACAACTAATGTGCTACGGTGGGCAGTTCTTTTCATGGCCCTTTATCCTAACATTCAAGGTGAGGATTTGCATGATCTTAAGATCTGTGCTTATATTTAGGGCCCACACATGTTTTACAGTCTTTGGCTGTAAACAAAGCATTTTAGTTAGGAACTCCTGCTATGCTATCCAAAAAGAGAAGTACTGAATAGCTATAAGGTTTTTAAAACTATTAATTCATGTAGAAACCTCAGATATAAATCTTACAATACCTGTATTATAAATGAGGGAAAAGGCTAAGTGACTAATTTGCCCACTTCCTTATAGTTCTAAGCCAGAACCTGAACCCTAGTTTTTGGGGATTTTTTGTTTGTTTGTTTTGATTTGGTTTTGGTTATACCACGCAGCATGCAGAATCTTAGTTTCCCAACCAAGAATTGAACCCACACCCTCTGCAGTAGAAGCATGTAGTCTTTATAGCTGAACTGCCAGGAAAGTCCCAATGGCTTTTTAAAAATTATTATTTATTTTTAATTGAAAGATTATTGTTTTACAATATTGTGTTGGTTTCTGCCATACATCAACGTGAATCAACCACAGGTATACATATGTCCCCTCCCTCCTGAACCTCCCTCCTACGTCCCCCCCAACCCACCTCTCTAGGTTGTTACAGAGCCCAGATTTGAATTCCCACTGACTATTTACATGTGTAGTCTATATGTTTCCATACTACTCTCCATTTGTCCTACCCTCTCCTTACCCCCCAACCCATGCCCACAAATCTGTTCTCCATGTCTGTGTCTCCATTGAAAGTGAAAGTCACTCAGTTGTGCCCCACTCTTTGTGACCCCACGGACTGTATGTAGCCCGTTAGGCTCCTCTGTTCATGGAATTGACCAGGCCAGAATACTGGAGTGGGTAGCCATTCCCTTCTCCAGGAGATTTTCCCAACCCAGGGATCAAACCCAGGTCTCCTGCCTTGCAGGCAGATTCTTTACTGTCTGAGCCCCAGGGAAGCCCCTGAGTCCCCATTGCTGCCCTGCACATAGGTTCATCAGTATCATCTTTGTAGATTCCAAATATATGCATTAATATACAATATTTGTTTTTCTCTTTCAGACTTACCTCACTCTGTATAATAGTTTCTAGGTTCATCCACCTCATTAGAACAGACTCAAATATGTCCCTTTAATTCACTGAGTAATATTCCATTGTGTGTATATATATATGTGTGTGTGTGTGTGTGTGTATGTGTATGTATCACAACTTTATCCATTTATCTGTTGATGGATATTTGGGTTGTTTCCCTGTCTTTGCTGTTGTAAATAGTGCTGCAATGAACATTACCAACCCTGGTCTTTTTTATTTGAAGTTTCTAATGCTTCGTTCTTTTCCTTGATCAGAGTAATGTTATTCTAATTCTAGATTTAATTTTTATTTTTATTACCTATAATGTGTGTTTCACAATTAGGTACTAGTTGTGTAGGATATGTGGCATGTGTTTAAATAGAACTCCCAGATAATGAAAACTCTGAATCTGAATGTACCCATACCATGTTGGCTGGTTATTGTTTGTTTTATCCTAAAGAGAGGTTACTTTAGATATAATTCTAAGAATTGCATAATAATGGGAACACTTTTTCTCTTACAGGACAAGTTCAGAAAGAGATTGACTTAATTATAGGACCCAGTGGGAAGCTTTCTTGGGATGACAAGTGCAAAATGCCTTATACCGAGGCAGTTTTGCATGAAGTTTTAAGATTCTGTAACATAGTGCCATTAGGGATTTTCCATGCAACCTCTGATGATGCAGTTGTACGTGGTTATTCCATTCCCAAAGGCACAACAGTAATCACAAATCTTTATTCTGTACACTTTGACGAAAAGTATTGGAGAGACCCAGAAATATTCTATCCAGAGCGATTTCTGGACAGCAGTGGATATTTTGCCAAGAAGGAAGCTTTGGTTCCCTTTTCCCTAGGTAAGAGAGCTTTTTCACAGGGGCTTAACTTGAGAACAAAGTATAGTGATGATTCATTATGTATAACATCTTAATCTGAAGCATTCTGTTGTAGAATTAATATCCCAACTTTGAAAACAGCATTGAGTCTTAAGGAGAGAACGGTTTAATTAGATGTCATTAACACCTGTTTCTACTCAAAATAAACAAGGCATAATTTAGCAGCTAGAAAGTAACTGATGAAAAGCTCTGGCTTTTTTTTGAAACTCTCTTGCTTGTGAAATTTGTAGAGCTGGAAGTCAGTAACAGGCACTTTGAGAAACTGAGACCCAGGGACAGGAATGGCATCATAATTTGAAGTGAAACTGGAATCAAGCTCTCGTGACTTTTAAATATTATACCTCATCTCCAAAAATATTGTGTCTCCTGTGACAAAGTACACAGATCACAAGACCCATGGAAGATGGCTTGGAGAAATCTTTTCATTGGGGAAGGGTACACATACAGTCATTTGAAATGAAATGAACTTCTTCTTCTGGGTCAGTAGAACTAAGTGTCACACCTTAGATCTTTCATGGCATATCCCAGGCTCTGTTGCAAAGGAAGCAGAGAATGGAACTAATGAGCTTACAAAAGTACATGACCTGACAAAAGAAGGTAAAAAATGGGCCCTGGGAACTGAAATGCTGGGGCCTATTTCTATTCTTTGGGGCTTAAGAAAATCCTTTAATGAACATAACTTCCTCTCAGTTCAGTTCAGTCATTCAGTCATGTCCGACTCTTTGCGACCCCATGGACCACAGCACACTAGGCCTCTCTGTCCATCACCAGCTCCCGGAGTTTACCCAGACTCATGTCCATTGAATCGGTGATGCCATTCAACCATCTCATCCCCTGTCATCCTCTTTTCCTCCTGCCTTCAATCTTTCCCAGCATCAGAGTCTTTTTCAGTGAGTCAGCTCTTTGCATCAGGTGGCCAAAGTATTGGAGTTTCAGCTTCAGCATCAGTCCTTCCAATGAACACTCAGGACTGATCTCCTTTAAGATGGACTGACTGGTTGGATCTTGCAGTCCAAGGGACTCTCAAGAGTCTTCTCCAACACCACAGTTCAAAATCATCAATTCTTCGGCCCTCAGCTTTCTTTATAGTCGAACTCTCACATCCATGCATGACTACTGGAAAAACCATAGCTTTGACTAGCGAGACGTTTGTTGGCAAAGTGAGGTCTCTGCTTTTTAATATACTGTCTAAGCTGGTCATAACTTTCTTGCCAAGGAGGAAGCGTCTTTTAATTTCATGGCTGCAACCACCATCTGCAGTGATTTTGGAGCCCAAAACAATAAAGTCAGCCACTGTTTCCACCGTTTCCTCATCTATTTGCCGTGAAGTGATGGGACCAGATGCCATGATCTTAGTTTTCTGAATGTTGAGCATTAAGCCAACTTTTTCACTCTCCTCTTTCACTTTCATCAAAAAGCTCTTTAGTTCTTCTTCACTTTCTGCCATAAGGGTGGTGTCATCTGCATATCTGAGGTTATTATTTCTCCTGGCAATCTTGATTCCAGCTTGTGCTTCCTCCAGCCCAGGATTTCTCATGATGTACTCTGCATATAAGTTAAATAAGAAGGGTGACAATATACAGCCTTGACATACTCCTTGGAACAACCAATCTGTTGTTTCATGTCCAATTCTGTTTCCTGACCTGCATACAGGTTTCTCAAGAGGCAGGTCAGGTGGTCTGGTATTCCCATCTCTCTCAGAATTTTCCACAGTTTATTGTGATCCATACAGTCAAAGGCTTTGGCATAGTCAATAAAGCAGAAATAGATGTTTTTCTGGAACTCTCTTGCTTTTTTGATGATCCAGCGGATGTTGGCAATTTGATCTCTGGTTCCTCTGCCTTTTCTAAAACCAGCTTGAACATCTGGAAGTTCATGGTTCACGTATTGCTGAAGCCTGGCTTGAAGAATTTTGAGCATTACTTTACTAGTGTGTGAGATGAGTGCAATTGTGTGGCAGTTTGAACATTCTTTGGCATTGCCCTTCTTTGGGATTGGAATGAAAATTGACCTTTTCCAGTCCTGTGGCCACTGCTGAGTTTTCCAGATTTGCTGGCATTTTGAGTGCAGCACTTTCACAGCATCATCTTTTAGGATTTGAAATAGTTCAACTGGGATTCCATCACCTCCACTAGCTTTGTTCGTAGTGATGCTTCCTAAGGCCCACTTAACTTTCTCTAACATTCTTTAAATACCAGAGTTCCTGAAAGATATGTATTAAACATAAGTTTTGGTAAATAATTTAAAAACTATTATGCCTGCTTTCTGTTTAGGGAGAAGACATTGTCTTGGAGAACAGCTGGCTCGGATGGAAATGTTCCTGTTTTTCACAACATTGCTTCAGAGGTTTCATTTGCATTTTCCACATGAACTGGTTCCAAACCTGAAGCCCAGGTTAGGCATGACGTTGCAACCCCAGCCCTACCTCATCTGTGCAGAAAGACGCTGAAAGTACACAGATGTTTTGTGGAACAAGCTGTTCGCCTCACCCCCAAACCTTGTTTAATTCTGTGTTTGGACAGGAATCACAGCATCATAAAGCCAAATGAACAGAGATGTATCTTTAAAAGCAGAACTACTATAATAATATGCATTAGCTATTGTTTTTTCCTTATAAGTCTTATGACTTATAAAGTGGAATTATCTGAGGAAAACAGAGGTGCAAATGGCAGCTCTTGCATCAGTGTCCTGACTTTTTAACCTCTTATTGAGCACCAGGTACCTGTCATCCATTCTTGACTCCAGCTTGCTCCTTTCTGATCTATCTGCCTCCAATGCCAGTGCCAGCTCCTTTCTAATCAGGTATTGTCTGTGTTACCACACAATCCAGTCCAGTTTCATAGTGGACCAAAGAAATTAGAACCCAAATAAGTGAGTTTGGACTACAGAGGTATTTTATTAGATGCAGTGGTAGATGACAGAATATATATTTATGTAGTATATTTAATATAAAACCTAATACTTTCAAGTCTTACTTCCTACTATAGTTTCATAAGAGTTGTATCATTCTTCCTACATATGAGGGTCCTATGATATATAATAATGATATGATATTGATAATATATGATAATGTACTTTAAAATGACAGGTAGCATGACCTAGATGCTTAATGATGTAATAAAAATCCTGTTTCTTCACATCCCTCAAGTTTGCTTTCCAGATGATAATAGCTTTATCTTAAGGGTGGCTTATGGAAGTACATGTTCTTTGCCCATGTCCTTTCAAGATACTGAGCTTGGATTGTTTTTGGGAGAGCAAGGGAGCTTTTCAGATGTTCCCTTAAAACTGTTCTTTGTGTCCCATAGGTCCTAACTAACCTATGTATCCACCCATTAAAACTATGTCTTGGGACTTCCCTGTCGGTCCAGTGGTTAAGACTCTGTGGTTCCAATGCAAGGGACACAGGTTCGATCCCTGGTCAGGGAGCCAAGATCCCACGTGATATATGGCCAAAAAAACAAAAACAAAAAAACCTGTCTTGTGAACATGAAAGCAACCCAAGTGCCCAGTAACAGATGACTGGATTAATAAAATGTGAGATATATATATATATATGCTATTTATTTTCTTCACCTTGCATCTAAGGAAATGTATTTTTCCCTAATCAAGTTAATGCAAACCTGATGAAAATCATTTAAATATGTAGATTCACAACTTGTTAATGTTAGAAGAGGTCTAATCTCACTTGATGTGCTTATTTTATGGCCAAGGAAGTAGGCGTTCAGACAGGGAAATGAAGAGCATGGCCCTCTTTCACCTCATCCATGTATTTTTTTTAATCCAAACTGTTTATTGGGATGGTTCCTCATTTATCCTGATTCAGAGTGCTTTTAGTGATTCCATCTGAAGGAGCATCCTTTTGTAAGCCTTGTTTTTCCTGCTGTGGGCTGGCTGAGTCCTGCTGACTGTGCCAGAGTCCTAGTTAGCACGTGGCTAACAATGGTGGTGATCTTAACAGCCTTCTGGGCATTTCACATCCATGAGGTAAGAACTGCGCCTCTGTACCAGGTACTTCTTTTTGTGTATTCTCTTCTCTTCTGAAGAGGGATGAAGGAGCTTCTTTGTAAGATGCACATTCTCGTCAGGAGGTCATCAGACCATCTCTTATTCTTCTTACTCACACCCAATAATTTATACTATGCTTTATAGTTCATATGAGCGACTGAACTGAACTTACAGTTCATAAAGTTGTTTTCATACTGTCAACTCTTGACTATTTTCAGCCAATTTTAACTGGTAAAAATAAAATACTTCAATTTTATAAAAATATAAATTAACATGAATTTAATAAGTAATCCATAATGAACAGTATTTCTTTTTTGGAACTATATAGTAACAGACTATCGATCTACTATAGTGAGAATGCCTTTTCTCTGATCAGTCAGTGGTGAGCTACTAACTTAAAATGTTAGAATTCACTTATGGTTCAAGATGGCAACTGAGCATACTTATTTCTTCTCTACAAATGCCACTGAAATAACCAAAAAGATAGAAAAAGGGATAAAGGCATTGATGATGGGGTTGGAGGGATATATTAGTGAATCAGCTACTTCCAGGTTCTAAAAGATGGAATGTAAATGGGATAATATTGAAAGAACCACAGATAGGACCATGCATAGACAAAGCCTGAGGTAGAGATAGGAGCTCATTCTTCACAGCTGATTATGGAAAAAGCAAGTAGCCAAGGAGAGTAGTACATAAGGACAGCGAGAGTGGAAGGAAATCATGTTGATGCTCCTGTCCCCACATTGCTTTCTCTTCTTGTTTGTGCAGCTATAGAATGTGCTCCCAAGTAAATGTCTAAATAAATTGAGTACTGTGTCTGGGAGGTAGTGGTGCTCCTACATAGGGATTGGAGCCGTCAATTGGCAGCCCCTTAATTTGGTCTGATTTTGGACCTAAAGTTCTACATAACCAAAATGATTAATCAGGTGGAAGGGCAAATTTCAGTCAACCAAGTGATGACTGGGGAAACATCAGAAAAAGGGCTAGTGTTAAGAATTGAATATATTTAACTATAGTACTAACACTAAAACAAAGGTTGGAATAAGTGCAACAAAATAATGTGTAAACGTTTATACTCCGACAGTGTGGAAATAATGTATCTAACAAAAATAAATGAGAGGAAAAAAAGGTGGAAAGTAGAATAAATCTCATTGCTTCATGTATAATAGTTAGAAGTCAAAGGACATAATTTGACAAATCAAGTAGTAAATGTTTGAGTAAATTTAAGAGTACAAAAGTAAATGGTAGTAATACTGCTTAAAATTGGGTACTGGAAGACATGGAAGAAGAAAACATCCATGCTAATTTATTATTCTTAGAAGAGAAGCAGATATTATCCAAACATATTATATAAAGGTATAAGCATAAAGATGACCACTAAATCAAAAATACAAGCCCACAAAAAAAAATACAAGACTTCCTAAATGTCAGAACTAAAATTAATATTTTAATAAAGAACAGATTATATGAGAGAACTAAAAAGGCTTATCTTACCTATTAAAACCGTATTCAAATTGGATCACAGAGATAACTTGATGATATAGTTATGTTGTATATGAGAAACATCTGAAAAAAAGAAGTTAAGAATATAAGGATGAGTAAGGTCATACCAGGCAAATGCAAATAGAAAGCATGACTCATGATCTTAATAAAACAAGGTAGAATTCAAGGCAGAAAGCATAAGCAAGACAGAAATTCACTCTTTAATCCTAAAGACTCTCATTCTAGAAGAAGTTACAATAATTATGAATAACTGTTGCTGAAAGCAGCATCTTTCATGAAGCAAAAATGGCAAGAGGTACAAAGAAAAATGTATGGATGTATGTTAATACTAAGAGACTAATTCACTTCTCTCAACCTAAGACAAATCAAGTGGATCTCAAAAAATAAAGATAAAGAAGACCTATACTAAGAATTTGCTGGTTGTTCAGTGGTTAGGACTCCACTCTTCCACTGCAGGGAGCACAGGCTCAATCCTTGGTTGGGGAACTAAGATCCTGTGTGCCCTAGAGTGAGGCCAAAAAAAAAGTTGTCTGTACTGCATTATCAGTAAGGTAGAACGGAAGAATACACATCAAATTTTATATCTGATAATAGAGTATGCCATTTTTATACATGTTGATGAAAATTGACCACGCAAAATGGATCAAAAGTTGAACTTTGAAAATTTCAGAAGTACAAATATTACAGATTTCATTATCTGAGCATAAGATAATAAGAATGGGTATTAATAATGGAATAATAAAACCAAAATTGCCTTCGTATCTTGAAATTAAAATTGTAAAATAATCATTGGACAAGGGGAAAACACAAACAATAATTGGAGAATTTCTAGAAAACATGATAAAAACATCAGAATCTATGGAATACAGCTGCAGTTGTCTTCAGAAGAAAATTCATAGCCCTATGTACTTGTTTAGATGAAAAAATAAATCTTGAGGATGAGCTAGGCATGCTTTTTGTAAATTAGAATAACAGCAAACCAAAGGAAAGTAGAAGGAAAAATTACGAATTCTGGATAAGCAGGAATTAATGAGTTAGACAATAGAAAATAAAACCAATAGGTTGTATCCTTTTTTAAAAAATCCATATGCTAAATCAAGGGTCAACAATTTTATACTTCACAGGTGAAATTTGGCCCACCATCTCTTTTGTATGACCCCAAGTTAATGGTTTTTACATTTTTACATGCATGGTTAAAAAAAAGAACGGCTGAATGAGGGGAATTAGGGTAAATGGGTCAATATGTGATAAAGCAATATAGGAAAATGTAAATTCTAGCATATAGACTGTTTAAGGGTGTTTCTTCTCTAATTCTTTCAACTTTTCTGTTTGAAATTTTTGATAATAAAATATTGGGAGGAACACTAAAAACAAAATAATATTTTGTGATAAATTAAAATTTTCTGCATTTCAAATTTAATGTTCATAAAGTTACATCTCTTTCCTGAAAGAGAATTTTAATAATTGTAAGAAATTGATTTGTAAAACTCAGTGCAAAGAAGTTTGAAGACCTGAATGAAATGGATAATCTCCATGAAAACATAATTTACCAGAGTCTAGTTTTCGTAAAAGAAAAGTTGCCAAAGATGACCTTCAGAAAACTATTTGAGCTCTTCTAGAGCATAGAATGGAGAAGGAAATGGCAACCCACTCTAGTATTCTTGCCTGGATAATTCCATGGACAGAGGAGCCTGGCAGGCTACAGTCCATGGGTCGCACAAGTCAGACACAACTTAGTGACTAGAGAGAGAGTGAGAGCGAGCATAGAAATGAAAAGGAAATTTTTTTCTTTTGGCTGCTTCACTCAGCATATGGAATCTTAGTTTCCAGATCAGGGATCGATCTGTGTCTCTTGCATTGGGAGCACGGAGTCTCTGAATCACTGGACCACCAGGGAACTCCCCTGGATGTCAATTTAAATGTCCTAAATAAGTTACTAAG